ATATTAAAAAATATATATCAGAAATTCTATTTGATATAATCGAAAGTTTAAGCTTACTTTTATAAAATTGCTCTTACAGTCTGCAAAAAATAATAAGCCGGATCCAATTCGAAAATTAAGGAACAACGCAATCATCAACATTAACTGAAATAGATAATTAGATAATTTTTGCTTATACATCCATTATACATAAAACGTGCACGCGAAAACGTATTCTGCACTTGCGCACACTGATATGCGCAGTCGTAAAAGGTCTTACGCGCACGCGTAAACGCCTATGCGCATGTGTCAACGCGGCGCATGCACAGAAAGTTTTTAGTTTTGATGTCCGGATTATAGATCATTCCGAATTATGGGTGTCCGAAGTAACGACTTTTGACTGTATGAAAATTTACTTGTACAGCGACAACTTGGAGGGATGTCGTCAAAGGAAGGAAACTTCAGGGATAGTCGAGTGAGGTGAAAAGACCTACACCTCAACAAGCACGTTCACCTGCAAGGTAATCCGTCCTGACGAAAGAAAACCTCTGAAGTTTTGCATGTTGATCTGGTTTCAGATTTGTTTTCTGTACTGCCAAGCACACAGGCTGATAAGCATTGATCATAGCTTTGATGTCAGGGAAATTTCGATGGAATCCGCGACAGTTCCATGAGACGAGGGTGGCCATTATGTTTGATGTTTGTTAGTTCTGTGTTGCTTTTTAGTTTTGCGCGGAAGCAGATGTTCGGGAATTCCATGTCCTCTTCCACTTCCATGCTATCTGAATCTCCTGATTCAGAAATCATTTCATCTGCAGAACTATTGCTGGGACTATTATTTTTCTTAATTGATTTTTCAGGGACATTTTTTGGTTTGCTTTGAATAACTATTTCTTTATTTTGTACTACGTGTGTTGGATTTCCTTTTTTTTTTTTTTTTTTGCTTGCAGGTTGATGGGTTTTATTCTGTACTGTCTGTGTACTTATTGAGGTTTGGATGGCAATGGTACGTGTTGATTTAACGGCACTGGCATATGACTTGTTTGATTGAAGCTGTGTGCCTTGCACTAGTTTTCTGGCTTCAGCATACAAGATGTTCCTAGTGACTTTTAACGTCTGTACTTCCTTTTCTGTTTTCCATTTTGGGCATGATCGGGAAAATGCTGGATGGTCACCCTTGCAATTTATACACAGTGCCGCAGCAGTGCAATTATCGCTATTGTGGCCAACCAACAAACATCGAGCGCACGTCAGGGTCCCATGACAGGACATCTTGGAATGGCCGAAACGCTGGCACTGGAAGCATCGCATAGGATTTGGAATATACGGTCTTACGGGGCAATTAAGATATCCAAGGAAACGGGGACTATTCTTAGGATTATTAGCAGTTGCATCTGTACATACTTTTTTAGCAGATTTTTCGGAACCTTGATATTCTTCGGCAGATCAGGCGACTTGAAGGTCAGAATGACGTGTTTCGTGTCAATCAACTGACCTTCCTTACGCATCTTGATCCACTTTGCAGCACAAACCTTTTGATCAGCTAACTCAAAAACGAACTCTTCTTCAGGAACAGACAGAAGGTCGACTTCCGAGATTACGCCGCGAGAAAAATTCAATGTCTTATGCCCTGTTACAGTGACAGTTGCTTTACCAAGTTTGGTTATTTGAAGTAAGGAAGCAGACTGGGTGGCCGAAGTTGTATCAATCAGCAAGTCTCCAGAGCGAAGACGCTTAATATTTCTGGGCTCACCAATACAAGAATGGATATATTTATTTATAACAAAAGGAGACGTCTTTTGAAGCTCACCTAGAAGGGACTAGAGACAACAAGGAAACGGGGGGACTATTCTTAGGATTATTAGCAGTTTGCATCTGTATGTAGTTTTTTAGCAGATTTTTCGGAAGACTAGATCTTTAGAGCGACTTGGACTGACTTTCGAAGTTTTTAATTAAGATAATATTTTAGAATTAGCCATAATAAAGAAGAAAAGATTCGGGTCCGACGGCCCCACCCAACACGGAGCCCAACAAGGGAACACAGATTCCTGTGTTAGGGCTAGCCGGACCTATACACAAACTGAAGCCCCACAGTCGGCTTTCCCGAAAGCAGGTACTCCCGAGAGCTTATCCCCAAGCCACTGACACAAGGACTAGTGACCAGCCGATTGACACCCGTGAGGACGACTAAGGTGCCTCCTGTTTAGCTGAAGCAGAGGCCAAAGTAGTGTGTTGGGGACAGTACTTCGCCCCTCAACTACCAGGACCCTCCTTTCCAGCGACACGGGTCTCCACACACGGCAAAAACGGGGGCAGTTTTCTTGCCACTCAAAAACTAGAGACAAGGGCTGCTCCAGTCTCTCGTGACGAGCCCCAAACTCCGTAGAGGGAAACCACGAGGGAGAAGGGAAGGGAAAAAGTTCCAGACAAGAGGAGAGGAGACGGAAAAGAGGATAGATTGCTGGGGATTACTGGGGCTCCAGGATCGTGACACCCATCTCACCAAGAAGATGATCCCCTGAAGGGCTAGGGTACCTCAGGATTGCCAAACCCATACTCACAAAAGTGAGCCCCCTGACGGGGCTATCAAGCTGCTTTAACCTATAAGTTGTAACAGTCTGTGCTTTAAAGACTGCAATACAATTGTTGAGTACTGTATTCAAAGATGTTACTCTCCATTCTGCTGCTGTACTGTGCTCACATTTCAAAAACTTGCTTATAATGACTGTCATGAACAATTCTGCGCATTCTCTACAAATTCCATTTGTTTAAGAGTTGTTCTCAACAACAGACCTGTCTCTGACTGCACACTTTGGGACTGTATAATTAGGGTATAGCTGCCAACCTCGAAATATGAAACCACCAAAAACCAGGAGGTGTTTGTGGCACCATTTTAAAGAACCCCCGAAATGATTTAAATATGTTTTAGAATGCATGATTCAGTTTATTTAACTATTTATATTATGATTCTGATGCAAAATACATTGATTATATATCCTAAACTTTATGTTCTTTAATTTCATTCTAAATCAGAAGTACGTTCAGCTAGCAATCAAAAGGTCTGGATTTCAAATACTGGTAAAGACATTTCAGATTTTTCATGTTTCTGGTTCCAAAATAGGCCTAATAACTCATATTTCTGGTCCAAAATGAACTAAATTTTGATTCAAATAAAATTAAGTCTAAATAAAAGCAGAAGAGAAACATGTCAAGTGAAACATAAAATTAGTAACACAATAACCTTGAGTTTGGCATAGATTTAAATCAAGATAAATCAAGATGTTACTCTAGATTTTAATCAAAGTGTAAACTTAAGTCAAGATCTTGACTTAAAACTATGCCAAACTCAAAGTTGTTGTGTTTCTAATTTTAGGTATAAATATTTACTGATTAAACACTTAGCTTCATATAAAGCTAAGTGTTTAATCAGTAAATATTTACTATATTTACATATATTTATTTATTATACTTTACTCCATAGATTAAAACAATTCAGATCAAATAAAATGTCATAAGAAAAACTGTGCTGAAGATCGTTAGGGATGTGGAAATAAAACTTGTACAATTTAAGCTTCATTAATTCCTAAATGAAACTTAATATCTGCAAATTAATTTTATTGCTCAAAAACACTATTAGTAAAGGCTAAAAACCAGAAGATGTGTTGAAAAATCGTGAGTCTCCTGGTAAAATCAGGATAGCTGGCAGCTACAGCAGGGCATTATAAACTACTGCTGAAGAAAAGTAAAAATGTTAACAGCTTCTAATTTCTAATCACTCTATCTTGTACAGACATGCAAGATTAAATCTTTTAACTAAACCTTTATTTTTTAGCTTCCAAGCAAAAATTACCTAGCTTTTTTATTATGTACTTTTAATTAGAGCAACAAAATATAAAAGATTCTAGAAATATTTTTATGAAACAAAAGGTAAATAATTATTCTAGTGTGTTTTTGTTTACAATGAACACATAAAATAATTTCAATATAATTTTGAATTTTAACATTTATAAATTGAATATTTATCTGTACACAGAAAATGTGAAAAATTTTTTTTTATTAAATTTCAAAACAGTAGACCTCAAAAGCATGGCACGACACATGGGGTGTTATAATTTGGACAAAAATAACGTTTCTACAACATTTTCAGACAAAGCCCTAAAAGATAAAATTTACAAGCTCTAATTTGCATATTTCTCAGCATATTGCAAAATAGCCTGAATTACTAACCTGATGCACTTGACATAGATAAAAACAGCTTCATATGCAGGCAGATATGTGCCTGGATGCTGAATCATAAGAGGCATGACATAAAACTCATGTATTCTCACAATAAAACATCGTGAAGGTCACAAGCATAGCTACAAAATACATTGTAAGTTCATTCAGAAAAAATAAATGTCTTGAACCATAAATTAAAAGTTCACTTATGATAATTATTTTTGACAAATTGGCAACTCCGAGACACGGATGAAAAGCAGTTAAAGTCATTTAGATTCTCAGTTTTGCCAGCCTAATAGGCAAGCTCAGCCAAATGAAAACAGTTGACTTATTAAATAATATTCAACAGTGCTCATATCCTTTCCTGCAACTTATGATAAAAAAAAAAAAAAAAAAGGCTATCAACTTTTCTAACAACTGAGCAAATAAATTAACATACAACACTTACAAACACAGAAAATCTTATTTATTTAACATTCACAATTAAAACAATTTAACTTAATCTCAAAACTGAGTAACAAATATTTACAGGGTAGGAATAATTAAACTTTACCATTCAACAAAATAAGAGAAGTTAATTAAGGCAAATTTATTTACAGATAAATTTAAATTTATGTGCATAATATTTATTTACAGATATTTTTTAATTTATATCTTAATAAAATTAAGTTGACTCATTTCTCCACTTTACATTTACAAATACTGCTGTTGTGCAAGATGGTGTAGTTATTTATTTGTTACGATTTAACAAATAATATTTATAGTTTTTTTTTTTTTTTTTTTTTTTTTTTTAAAGTACTTACAAATTATACTGCTCAAGACGATCACTTGCTTCTTTCATGTTCTTCGAGACAAAATCCACAAGTAAGAATGCTGGGCAAGATGCTGGAACAATAAACTGGCCAGTAGGCGATAACATTAAAGGTCCAGCTTCACTATGTAGAAGGACAAAGTTACAATTTATAAAGCTTAGTAATTATAGACTGAATCTAACACATAATTAAAGAGCAAAAGAAAATGCATCTATTCCAAAAACAATAGTAATATTTATAATTTAAAATTACCCCCCCCCCCAAAAAAAAAAAAAAGAGGAAAAAAAATTCAGGAGCAAAAAAAAGCAATTTTTGCTGTTGAAGAAGAGACCAGTATTTGATTGCCTTAGAAACTAAGAGTTTTATTTAACAATTTATGACAAACTTTTTTTTTTTTTTTCTTTTTGCTTAATTTTCAATTTTACATCAGTGTGTTTCCCCCTTCCAATTTCTATGTAACAATTTATTTATTTTTTTTTTTTTTTTTTATAACAGCAGAATAGAATTTGAATTTACTTTTTCACAAAAAATAAAATTACATTAAATAAGTTGATCCTTAAAAATTTTAGAAACAAAATGACAAATCCTGATCAGAAAAAAGAAAAAAAATTTTATAAGAATATAAAGCAACAAAAAGAAAATCTATCTTTAATGTCATCTTCAAGAAAATTCCATATTTTTTCTTTTCATTTTTAATAAAAATATATTTTAAAGTTACTAATGAACTAACATCATTCATAATTTTTGCTTCTACAATTAAGACATTAAATTCTTAACAAATTAAATAACACAGATTAAATTCAATTGTAGTCTCATTAATAACAGCTCTGAAATAAATTTTTACAAAATCAGTTATTTTATTGACTAAAATTTTCTAAATAAATTGGATTGGTATATTTTACCAAGTGAAAACAGACAAGAGCTAGCTGATTAAGTTTCATTGCAGTTTTAATTCAGAGCACTCTCAGGGATAGAATTACGGCATCTGCAACAACCACTCAATGCTCGTAAATTTGAAGGAGTTGGAATTCTTCAAACTGACAGACAAGAGCTCTTTTGTGATGATGGTAAGTATTTCACTAACACAGTGTAGACTTAGGTTCTGGCCTAAATGGAAATCTTGGTCCCCAAGGGCATGAGACTTGGACATAGTACTTCTAATTCATGCCCATACATGCAAGCCACAGCTAAAGCACCAAAAGCACTGAACAACGAGTAAGCCATCAATCAACAACCATCTTGTCTGCCGCAGAATCTAGAGGCCTTGTACCCTTCTTTCCCTATTTAAAACCTCTCTTGGTGATTTTCTGGTGAAGAGATTTCAAATGCCCATTATGCAAAAACAGAGATGTACAGATATTCCTGAGATATTTTTCCGCATTGTTTAATGTTACCATCCACTTAATATTATCAAAATAGCCATGGACAAAAGTATTCAAATTAAGCAGCACCTACTGTATATGTTAATAACATTAAGTTGACTCCACTTATAAATTTACAAATACTACTGTTGTGCATGATATTTAGTTACTTATTCTATATTGTAAGGGCATGTACACTGCTTGTGAAAGCAGAAACACAATAAACACTAATAAGTTGTAACTTACAATTTAAGTACGGCATATAAAGAGATGTGAATGATTATACTGTCACATAAAATGCAGCAGTAAATATACCTTCTACATTATCCAGTAAAGAGTACACATAGAGGCTGAAAAATAATACTGCCATCAGTGAAGACAAAAAATTGAATGATAAAACTGTTTCTTGTGATATTACTAATATACCTATGTCATGTTGCTAAGGAAAATCTCATTATAAAAGATTGAAAGCCTTTTAGCAAGAGTGGATGGTTGAGATTACAGAAATTATATTTTCCTACTGTTAAACTACCACTTACAAAAACCAATTTGCTAATACAATGATATACATGTGGTATTGATAGATAAACATGATTATGCTGAAATCAGGGAATGAACTTAACAATTACATGATAATTAAGACACAATAACACGCCGAATAAATACTAATTCAGAAGTCAAACAACAAAAATCAGCGTTATACCTACAAAATTTTCACAGGACTAGTTTCGATGGTTTTACCGAACCATCATCTTCAGCTGCAAAACCGCAAATGAACAAGATAGGAAATAATGATTAGATAAGATAAGAAAGCCTGAACAAGAATAAGCAAGTGGCGCCATCTGTTGGCAAAACCAGAACTAAAACATAATTTCTCTAAAAGCCGAAGGCAAATTTGGATTGGAATTAGGATCGTTAACTAGAACAGAAAGATTTTTATGAATGTGAAATGCCTCTAGAAAATCCAGTTCTCCAATGGAAGATGTTTTTTGAATAATTTTGGCAGCAGAAAAATTGAAAGTGTGATTTTCGGACCAGCAATGTTGAGCAACAGAAGACTTCTGTGTTCTTTCAACAATGAATTCAATTGATCCTGCTATTCAGTTCACTTTTGAACTTGAGACTTGCAATTCTCTTCCGTTTCTCGACATTCTGGTCACATGTAACACATCCAACTTCAGTACTACAGTTTACCGTAAACCTTCATCGGTTTGCCTTCCACCACACTTTAAATCATGTCATCCGACTAAACAAAAGTTAGCTTCATTTTATTCCTATGTTTTCCGTGCTCTTCAAGTTTGCTCCTCCAAACTAGCCCTTGATGACTTTCAATTTTTCTGCTGCCAAAATTATTCAAAAAACATCTTCCATTGGAGAACTGGATTTTCTAGAGGCATTTCACATTCATAAAAATCTTTCTGTTCTAGTTAACGATCCTAATTCCAATCCAAATTTGCCTTCGGCTTTTAGAGAAATTATGTTTTAGTTCTGGTTTCGCCAACAGATGGTGCCACTTGCTTATTCTTGTTCAGGCTTTCTTATCTTATCTAATCATTATTTCCTATCTTGTTCATTTGCGGTTTTGCAGCTGAAGATGATGGTTCGGTAAAACCATCGAAACTAGTCCTGTGAAAATTTTGTAGGTATAACGCTGATTTTTGTTGTTTGACTTCTGAATTAATTACATGATAGTATGAAGCAATAGGCACCTGGCAGACATGACAGCAAACAATCCATTGTATTAATGCAGTAGTTTGATGCTTGACATCTAGTAACTTCTAAATGCATGTTAGAAGGTGACAAATATAGTTACATGCAAGAGATATTAATAATATATATCAAGTTCTTCAAATGAATGTTTCATAACAGCCAAAAATGTGACTTCTATATACCCAATTTTCATAAATTTTAATACATAAGTAAACCAATTAATTTCAGATTTTTAACACAAAAGATTTTTAGTTATTTTCAGCATTTATTAAATAACAATGATTAGGTTTCTATTCTGCATTTAATGTTTTCTGGAAAGCTATTGTTCTTCAGTGATGGCACGAAATCTTTATAATGAATTATAATTTACCATTCCACTACAATCTGAAATTTGTCTAATCGACGTGGCCAGGTTGAAGGATATCCATTAAGCCATCTGTATTTATATAATGCTGAAGTAAGTTTCCCCAACTGTTGAACATACTTCTGAACCATGACTGTAGGTTGAAATTTCCTATGATCAACATTAATGCCTCTCAAGACTTCAGAGAGACCTCTTTCAGCATTGGGTATATGTTTCAATAAATCATCAAACTGGTGGACAGATTGGATCATCTGGAAAATAAAATAAAATTTTGAGAGTTCATAAGCTATATTTTCCACACTGAATCAAATATATAGGGTCCAAAGAAAATCTATGAATATCTTTTTTAATAATGAAGGAACAGTTTCAAACAGTAAAAATTAGAAATGCATCTATTAAAGTGAATATGCCTACATGATTATAGTGCCCTAGTGTTAAAATGTGTTAAAAAAATTAAAACTGTAATGAAACAAGCTAGAAGGAAAAGGATAGTTACTAAGTTGCACCATATGCTCTAATTATTACAAAATGACATACTGGCAACAATGTACTCAAAAAAATTTTAGGCTCAGCTAATAAACCAGCAAATTTGGAAAACAAAATGCAGCATTATATTTTTGGTAATGCAGCAAGTCTTTTAGAAATTATAATAGTCTGAAGCAACAAAGGTAAAATTATAAAAGTTTCAGCATGCATTTGTTAATGCAAATCAAAAATTGATATACACTTGATTATCTCGACTCTCGATTATCCACGCCTGCCGGATAATCGAGAGTAGCTTGCTGCAAAGTAGCAAACAGCGCTACAAGGCAGCAAATTGAATTGGATTATGTAACCGCAAAAACAACAGTGTGTGACATTCTAAAGCGAACTTTGCATCAATGTCGGACAGTGCTTCTGCAATCAAAATGAGAAAAACTATAAAGGGTTCTACCTTTGATGAGCTAGACACGGCATTGACAGAGTGGTTAACTCGAGTTCGAAAAGAGGGTACTCCTTTAAATGGTCCTATCAACTGCGGCGAAGGCAAAAACCTTTTTTGAGTTGTTAGGCCTGAAAGGAAATTTTGATGAGTCTTCTGGCTGGTTGACTCGTTTTAAGCAGTGACGTGGAATTCGAGAAATTGGACTTCATGGGAAGAAACTTAGTGGTGACCAACAAGCAGCCAACGATTTACACCATGAATTTGAAGAATTCGTTTTAAAAGAAGAGCTATCTTTTAAACAAATTTTTACAATGCCGACAAATCGGGACTTTTGTGGAAATGTCTTCCCACTCACACTTTAGCATTTGAAAGTGAAAGTAAAGCAGCAGGTCATAAAAGCAGCAAGGAAAGGATCACTATCATGTCTTGCAGTAACACTACCAGTGGACATAAACTTAGACTTGTCACTGAGAACTGATTTTCATTCAAAAAGGTGTTACTGATACACAAAAGATTTCTTCAAAAAAAAAAAAACGAGATCTTTCAAAGGCACAAGGATAGAAAATTTGCCCGTTGATTACTTTAACCAAAAAAAAAAGGATGGATGAACCGAAACATTTTTCAAGAATGGTTCGAAAAAATCTTTGTTCTTCAAGTGCGTAAACATCTTAAATCAAAAAACCTGCCTGAAAAAGCTGTGCTATTGATCGAAAACGCACCTTCTCACCCAGCAACAAGTGTGCTAAAGTCTTCTGATGGATAAATTTTGGCAAAGTTTCTCCCCCCAAACGTTACTGCGCTAATCCAACTCATGGACCAAGGAGTAATTGCAAAAATGAAGACAACATACCGAACCAAGCTGCTAATGACCAAAATTGAAGAAGGTTATGATCTGAAAGAGTTTTGGAAACACTACACAATCTTGGACAGCATCTACGATATTGCATCTGCATGGGACTCAGTGAAACCGTTAACCCTCATAAAATCATGGAGAAAACTCATGCCTAATGTTGAAACCAACAACAACCTAACCCCTCTGAGTTGTGAAGAAAAGAATGAAGATGTAGACACGTCCACGGCAACTCTTGCCAATATGGTGAAAACAGTTCCGGGTGGTGAGAACGTCGATGCTGAAAGCATTAACGAGTGGTTGGAGTGTGACGTCAACGAACCTGGCTTCAAACACTTGACAGATGACGAAATTGTGAAGAAAGCAAGGGGAGACCGAGAATGAAGAACAGCGAAGTGAAGGCGAAGAAGAGCCCACCGTGCAGATGCGGAAGACTCACGAAGCGGCTTTGCAACAAGTCGACGGACTGCTGAGCTACTTGGAAGAACAAGACAATGCGGAGTTGGCTGAGAAACTTATGCTACGAAAAGTGCAATCTCAGATCAAGAAAAAATGCTTCCAAAGCAAGAAGCAAACACTAATGACTAATTTCTTCAAAAAAGGTGTAGTTTTACAGTTATGCTTTTGTAATTACATAATACATTACAGTATTAAAACAGTACATATGTATTAATTTTTCTGTGTATACTTGATGCCTCTCGTAAGTACAAAGCACTTTTCTGTTTTCATTAACAAAATGCATTTTAGGTTAGTTTTGAGTGATATACTAAAATATTAAGCATTAGTTAAACATTTCCTGCTGTTATTTTACGATTTTTCAAAGTTGGAATGACTGTTTTCTCTTTTGCTATATCCGTTTTTAGCTTTTTTCGGATTATCCAAGATTTTTGTTATCCGCGGCGGCTGCGCCACCCAATTCCGCAGATAATAGGGAGTGTACTGTACTGAAAATTTTAATTTTCATTTGTTTTGCTTTATTTTAAAGTACACATTATCTTGAATCAGTTACAATACATCTAATACACAAATTTAATATCAATTTAAAGAACGTCATAATTTTGCTACATTCATCTGCAGGTATACAATACATACCTTCTAAAATAGATAAAATAAGTGTAGAGAGCCCTTTACATATTAACTACTAAAGTTGAGAAAAGGTCTTGGCCAAAGTAAGATGCTTCTTAAAAAAACAGATTTCATAATTTTTTAAACTGATTTTTCTTTAAATTAAAAATGCTAAAACATGAATATCTGCATCTGTTAAAGTAATTTTGTAAATGGAAATATATGTCTATGTCCTAAATAAGGACTTTCGTGGATACATTGTACAATGAACTCTTTAAGTTTGGTTATATGCCTTTGTATTCTAAAAATAGTAAAATGCTTAGAATAAATCATTCTGAAATGCAGGATTTCAAAATTTTATGATTCTTCTGGTTAACTGCTAAAGTGAAGCAGTTTACCCAATAGTACTGAAAAGTATTCAAACCAAAGTTTTAATTAGCCAATAGAAATAAAACAATATTATCCCTCTAGTGAGAAATGTAGTAACTCTGTTATTTTTAATATCAGCAGGAAACTCTTCACTCTTCTCATACTAATACCTGTCCTGTTCACAAGTTATCTGCCACTTACCTTTTAGCCAATTGTTATGATATCAATATGCAAAATATATACAAGAAACTGTTGAACACCTGGTATAACTATCTTCATATTTTCAGTGTTTCATTGTGTTTATATTACTACAATGTAATGTCAAAAATAAAGACATATGATACATATCTGTAATTGCCTGCATATTAAAGAATTCACTAGCTCCCTCATTGCTCTAAAAAAAAAAAAAATATTACTATGAAACTCCAAAACGGAAGTGGGCGCATAGTGCAGATAAAACTTTTATTTTTATTTGTTTTGGTTTGTTTTGGAAATTAAATATAAAAGACTGATTTTTAATGAAAAGCATGGCAGTATAAAAAAGTAAAATTCCAGATTTATCTGGCAAAAGCTTGTGAAAATATAAATTACTGAAAATAAGAGCTAAAGTTATTTATTTAGCTTTGACAGATGCATAAAATTACTTACATCAAGCCAATTATTTCGAACATCTTCACTACTTAAAATAATATGTCCCTCAAAGCTGACTCCTGTCTGTCGACCGAAGACAATAGTACGCCCTATCAAAAAAGTTTTTTATGATAAACAAATTTACAAAGAAAATTTTTCAACAAATGGTATTTCATTAAAAAATATGTAATTATTTGAAATAACAGATTTTTTTTATTACATAATTGCTTAGAAATGCAATAAAAATGCTCTTTCTGTAATATGATAGGTAAATCAGCAAGTAACAGCTTTCATTTTATGTGCACTAACAGAGTCACAGCTTAATGATTAGGAGATCTATTTGAACTGCTCTAGTCAACCCATTTAGCAATGCATAGTCAAACAGTCCATCAAAACTCATTCTATAAATGCATTACTTACGGGATGACCTAATATATAACATTTCTTATGTACATAAAAATAATATTTAATTTAAAAATGTATAAAAACCCTTAAAAAGAGACATTACAGTTGGCTTATAAGTTATTAAAATAGTTAATAAATTTCTCAAAAATCACAGACAAAGTAATAAACCTGGCAAGAAAAATCATTACTTTACTTTATTTTGTCAACTACCAAAATGCATTACATTAATTATTGCTATCATATTTGCCTTTTATTCAAAATGCTTTCTAAAAACTAAATTTTACTTCTTTAAAAAAAAAAAAAAAAAAAAAAAAAAAAAAAAAAAAAAAAAAAAAAAAAAAAATTCTTTTCTGTCTCCTGTCTTAAAAAAAAAAAAAAAAAAAAAAAAAAAAAAAAGTTTCTGTGTAAAGTATGTGTGTGTATATATATGTACTAAAGCAAACTTAGAAGTAATGAACAACAGAATTTTCATTGTGTAGAACACAGAATGTTGAATCCATACTGAAAAGCAAACTTAGTAGCTCAGAAAAATTAATTTTCATCTTTATTTCAATTGACATTTGCAGCCACAATTCACTTAACACTCTAATCCTGCCTATTCAAGAACATTTACCTTTTTGAAATTATTGTGATAGAAAGAAAAGCAACAAAAAGCAACATGCCAGTGTGTTAACGCCAAAACAGTTAGCAGCAGAGGTGTGCAGTTATCCAATATGAAAGTTCACCAAGAGAAAGGTTTTAGTCTAAGTTCTGAATTAGCTACGTCATCAGCATTATGCAAGTCATATGATACGGACTGATCTAGAAATGATGCGGTCTAAAAAAAAGCATTACTACTTAAAACAAAGAGAGGAAATACCCAAATTAAAAATGAGGAATTAAGCGGCTGTTGTTTTGATTTACATATTTTTTATCTTACACACACACACATGCATACGTATGTATATATAGGGCATACTTCAATGCAATTTTTTTCTTATGAAAAGTTTACACAATTTTATAGTAGTTTATAGTAGTAGTACTTATCCATCTATATACAATAATATATATAAATAATTTATGTAAATATACATTTTTTAGTCTTGATGGTACCATATAATATTAACTAATATATTATACTAATTAAAACTGATTTTTGTGATTTCTTTCTTTTATACATCTTTAAAATATATAAAAATATTTCTTAGGAATTTCTAAGCCCAATACCAAGAGTGTGGATTTCACTTCACTGTACAGGTGGGCTACATATTTTCCTCCTCTTGGGGTGCAATATTTGTTTAGACCCTATGGTGTCAATGTTTTCAGTGCTGAGATGACTGAACGATTGATGAGTTCAACCATTCTTGATGAATACTCTCCAGCAAATTGCCAGACATTGAAAAAAAATTTCCTCATTTTTAAATAAATCTTTAAAGCTTCATTTCATGTTTAAGTTGCTTGTATTCCAAAAGCCGACAATGCCAGTTCATTGCAAAATTGAAATATTTTTCTACTGATAACAAAAATAAAAATCAACCTTAACTGCTCTCTTTATTGACTATTTGTTTCCATTATATCGGAGATAAGGATATTCTATCTCTCTCCTTTCATAAATTTCAATGAAATAAATAGAAAATTATATTCATAAGTTCAATTAGAAACTATTTATTTAATGGTAATGTAGCTAAAAAACAAATTCAACAATGCAAAAAAAGTACTATTTAGAAATTTGTCCATTGCAACTAAAAACTGCTTTTATACGAGTCCTGTACAAAACAAATCTAGAATAATATATACGTATGTATGTATACAATTCAAGCTTTTTTCCCACTTAATCATCTTTTGTAGGATGAAAACTATTTAGAAAATTGAAAATCCGTGCACAAAATTTACACATGCCATAAATCAAGCAGAGGATTTCACATCACTTGAAAATTCCACTGTTTAGCTGAAATCCATTTTCTCAATAAAAATTAGCTTGTAAAACTGATATCTTAAAAGAATTTTACTTTTTATGCTTTTCCTCGAAAACATTAAATATGAATTTCAATTTATTTAATGTAATAAGCTAAATTCACAATACTGATGTTCATTAGTTTTACTGCATTTTAAAAATAAAGTCAAAAGAAATTAAAAAATAAATGTTTATAAAAGGAGCTTTTATTTAAAACTTATAAATTAATAAATTTAGAAAAAAGATATATAACTTAATGAGAACAAGAGATTAATTAATCTACTTTTCAACAATAATCCCTTTTCTAACAATTCTGTTAATGATAATTTTTTTTTTTTTTTTTAATCTGGAGGTTTTCAGATTTTATATTACGTCCAAACAGGTATTTTTTTAATGTTTTGTGTGTTACACTTATTTACTAAATATCATGCTTTTTGCACTTAAACCAAAAAATTCACTTTGGAATTTCGGATACACAGTCTCACGGACTGAAAATAAAAATGTCTCCCCCTACAGTGTTGCCATTGCTCGCATTGAAATTGTTGAGTTTGTTAACCAAAAATTCGTTAAAGTTTTACAAAATACTAAATAGATGATAAAACAAATTCCAAATATCCAATTTGATCTTCCACATGCCCATGTTCGTAAGGAGGATTACGTTATTCAAAATTCAATGGCTCTATGTACCGTTCTTTTATCACAATGCGAGAAATATACACACAGTTATGCAGATTTTTCATTATTTAGTTTCTTTAAATATAGTGCAGGGCTCTAATATTTGCTGGCAATAATTTGAAAAGTGAAACGCCATTTTATAGTGGATGAAGCAAAATGCCAAAATGAAATTAATAACCCTTCTGAGCAAATTGCCCCTTTCGGCTAAAAACAGTGATTTTACCAATCAGACGTTATGTTAAAAATATCATATAAACTTCATTTAAAAAGACTGTTTTCCGTTTTATCCAATGTTGCAAACAGTAAAATTCTAGGGATTTTAGTTTGTTCATTAAATGAAGATAGTTGCGAAAAATAACTTCAACATTCAATTAAAAAAAAAAAAAAAAACCATAAAATTTTGAAAAAAACCGCTTCACCACTCATCGAGTGTATGTGCATCTGAGCTCTCTAGCATATCAGGATGTGATATAACATCATAATCTTGAAATTGAAGAAGCAATATTTTTTTTTCACTTTCATGTTATAGCATACTTTTTACAAAAATATATAAAACCGGCCAATTTTAATATTTTTCAATCATTCTTACTTTAAATGAGGGCGAGAATTTGTTTTATAACCTCTGAAAATTTTAAAACTTGCATCCAGTACATTTTTAGATGTTGAAATTTTAAAATAATGCACATGATATAGTAAAAAAAAATTGAGTGATTGCTGAAAAATCTTCAAAAATTCCAAAATTAATTCCATTTAAAAGACATTTTTTCTCTCTTGATGATAAGTATCAGTTTGTTCATTAAATAAAGATATGATCAAAAAAAAATTGTTTACAAATTAAATTTTAAAAAATCTAAATTGAAATTTTAAAAAAAATCACTTCACCACATTGTATTTATTATCTTTAACAAACATTGCATAAAAAAAAAAAGAGTTTAATAGCTTATCAGGAAGTAGTTTAAAAATCAATGAGAAATTTTTTACTGTAGCAACAAACACCAGGAGTGAACTAAATAAAAGCTTATGAAAATAGAATTTACAGGAAATCATAATAATACCACAGTTTAAAAGCAAAATATATAAAACAGAATAATAAAAGTAAAATGTTCAGAGGATAACATACCAGCTAAAACACACATATCAGATGGATGCTGAAGAGTAAGCCTTTTAAAACTTTGCAGACATCCTCTGAAATGAGTAATACCCCAGCCACAGTTCCATAACACATCTTGCAAATTTAAAGTCTCTTTTAATTCTTTGCACAATCTTTCAGTTTCATCTCTGAGGGGTTGACATGCACGTAGCCTGTGAAGGGCTTTATCTACATTATCGTTTAACCAGAACCTGTACCAAGAATTTCATGCCTTTCTGAACTCAATGTTTTGACAGAATAAATTTACCTAAATTTTTAATAGGATCAAACAAATAAAAAATTCAAAAGATTTGATGTTATAAAAAATTATACACCTTTAAAAGTTTTGTAATCTATTTTGTCTCCAATTAAAATAAAATAAGAATACTTCAAAAATAAATTTTTAAAAAAATGAGGAAAAATAAATGTAGGAAAAAATAAATTTATAAATAAAAAGATGTTTATACCAATAGCCAATTAATATTATCCTTCAACTGATAAAATTAGTTACCTCTATTCATTTAAATAAAAGAATGGCATATATTACTCTCCTTTAATAAAAATATTTATAGTGGGTGAAAAAAGATTGATCAAAAACTATTTTCACACTTTTTCCATCAAATTCATATGCAAAAACATCTATTTTTCACTACAAAAATAATAGGAACTTATGTATTAATGCAACCATCTTGGCACAATCTGGTGCTTTTCCACAGATGAAAAAGTAAAAGTTACTTATCGGGTGCCAGTTAGTGGTTTTCATGCTTTTTTTTTTTTTTTTTTTTTCCAAAGATTCTCAAACTATCAATTATCATAAATTAGTAAATACTATCAATATATGGAAAGAAAACATACTTTAGTTATTTAAAATAGAAATTTGAATTATTAAATAAGGATTACTTGATACATTAAAAAATAAAACATTTACTTTCTTCTTCAAATCTTTCTGTATTTTTTGGGGGAGGGGGGGCTATTCTTCTCCCGAAGTACATAGTTATCTGCTTTCATTAAAAAAATATCAGAGAATTGCGGAGACCTGGCTTCATGCAATCCTCAGCAAAAGCAGCTATCGAGAAAATGGATTTCCTTATGGTTTCCTTTAGAAATTTTTAAGCAAAATTCTGCATTCTTGCAGAAATTTTACCGCAGATTTTTCTATTGCTGGGCAATTCTAAAAGCTCATATTTTAAAACTAAGGAAAAAATATCACGGTTTGTTTATTAAAAAAACTGCTGGAACTTGAAATACAATAAAAATGAACACATAAAATATGGTGGCATTGCTTGACTGAAGGATTGTTATGGTTGCCAAAAGAATGCATATGTGCACGGTTGTCAAAGTCTGGCACATTCTGAAAGTTTGGCAACTTCAACAAGGTGGTTGTATTAGTACAAAAGTACCAAATAACAATATAAAGTTTTTAACTAATTATACTCATTATTAACTTCATCAAAAAAAATCTGAAATTTAGAAAACCATTGCATACATCCCACAAAATAGTGTATATAAATTTATCTTAAAAAACACATTTCAGTTATTCTTACAACAAAAATTTCGGCCCTACTGTTAACCATTTTTAAAGACCTGCACTGAAGTACACACATATGTACTATGGACATTGCTCTGGAAATAAGGTCTAATAATGAAAAAGAGATGGTTACCGATTTTCAAGAAAGTGAACCTTTTATTCTTCTCTCCTACAGTACTAATTTTATGTGCAATAATAAAAATGTAATTACACATAAAATTGCATATTTCTTAACTTATTAGAGTTGATTATCACACTTTCTTTGAAATTTAATATCAGAAATTACTATCATTACTTATTTCAATTATTTTTAGGTAAAATATGTATAAATCTATAGCGCTAATATCTTAATTTTTCCTGCAATATAATACATCAGTCATGAAGAAATAAAATTTATATTTCAATAGAGATCATTATACACTATGTCCATGAAAGTCCTTATCCAGCCATTATTTTCACAACTGCTAGTTCTAAACATATACTTCCAGTTACAAGTGTTTTAAATGACCTAAAGATTCATATTTGGGCATTTTTAACGTTTAAAGAAATCAGTTTTTTTATGAAATCTAACATTTTATATGTTCCTCTGGTTCCTAAACTTATATATATATATATATATATTTTTAATTGTACTCTTTACCAAAAATAAAACACAAAAATTTAATTCTTGTATGACCAAAAATTGGCCGAGACATTTAATTTCAAATTTGCCATTTCTGATGCCATTTCCAATTTGCATTAAGGGGTCGGTTACTAAAATTAGAATAATTCAAGGTTTATTTTTTCTCTCTTAAACACTATTTAATGATGTTCTTTTGTAATTACTAGCATCTTTAATTCCAGATTTTGTTACATCTGGTATGCCAAAGGAATTTTCACACAAGTAATTTATAAGTTATCAAGGTCTAGAAAAAAGCTGTTAATATTCTCGCAAAGTTTTATTATTTTAGATTCATGATCTGACAAGTATACAAAAATTCAGTACACTACACGTATTTTTTCCTTATTAATTACTGCAGGGTAACCACATGCCAATAATGAAGGCTGCCAGTATTTTCTAGAACATGATCTCTGTTTTGAAAAAAACTTTATATTGATTAATACAATAATTTGCAAAGAAATGTTAGTCATTTAACCTCTTAATGTCAAAAACCTTTTTCTAAACTGATAATTTTATTCGATCCCTGAATATGATGTTTGACTTTAATACTACATAGCTCGATCAATTTTCGTTGTATGAGAATCTGCGTTTTATTTTTTATAACGAGTATAAGACTTTCTTATATACGTAAGTACAGCGATCAGAAAAACATATACAGTCAAAAGTCGTTAATCCGGACTCGTCGGGACTTCGGCGATTCCGGATTATCAATTTTTCCGGATTATAGATCATCAGTTTAAATCTGGTAAAATGGCATGCAAAAAATTATAAAATTAAAAAAAATATGAAAACAGTAATTTACGAAAATAAATAAAGAACAATTATGATCTAAAGGGTATCAAAATTTACAAAGAAAAAGCTTAATATTTATTTGTTTACTTTATTAAACATTTCTTTCAATATAAGTTGTTTAAGTTGCTTCGTTTTTTATGTTATAATACATTCTCTTTAATTCTATAAACAGACATAATTTCTTGTTCAGTTACAAAGTTCCGCTGTTCAAGTCCTATAATTGCTGTGTCAAGAATACCGACTAATTTGTCAATCGAAATTTTTTCGTTTTCAATACCCTCTGTTACTTTCTTCGCTATCGGAAGCGAATTATAATGACGAAGCATTTGATTTAAATCATATCAAAGACGAGATGAAATACTACATTGAGTAAGCAATTATAAGCCAAATAAAATAAAAACATCTGCCGTTAAGATAAGGATAGTGCTGACAGATCAACTTCCAATTCAATGCACGCCGCCGCGGCATTAAAGATAAACAAAGATTTAGATAAACAAAGGATATGCCTTTATCCATTTTTTGCAGCAATTCCACTTTTTGTTTAATGGACTCTTATCCCGTCCGTTATACATTAAACGCGCATTCGTAAACGTATTTTGCGCACGCGCACACGCAAATTCACAGCGGTAAAGGTCTTACGAGCATGCGTCAACGCGACGCATGCGCAGAAAGTTTGTAGCTTTGAGGTCCGGATTATAGATCATTCCGGATTATGGGTGTCCGAATTAACGACTTTTGACTGTAAAATGTTAGATTTCATAATTCTAGTAAAACTGAATTCTTTAAATTAATACTACAGTAAGAATCTTAACCCCTTTTAAAAAATTCTTGTAACTGAAAGTATAAATATCTAGGACCAATTGACTGCAAAAATAAAGACTAAGAACTTTTATGGACATGGTTATATTCTAAATATAAAGTGATCTTCATAAAGTTTGTATGTACAGCGACTCAAAATGGGACAGGTGTATATCTTGTTTGTTCTACTTGGCTGACTCATGAACTTCAACATGTATTTTTCATGTCTTGAAATGGCAACTAAGGATATATGTTAGATTTGTATACAGCATTGTCCTAACATATGTATTTTGACACAAAATCAAATTTTTTCTGAAATGACATACCTATTTTTTCCAATATTTTAATTCTATGCTTCAAACCATAACTTACCAAAAAATTCCAAAATATAGTTTGGCACACTTTTTTTGTCTTCCACCAAGCGGCATTCATTTGGCGAACTTTTCAGTTTACGTTACCATTTTGCTTTACTTTTCATTCTCAGCATATGGAAAAAATGCCTCGGTTCTCCTTTCTCAGAAATATTTTTAATTTATGCTACATTTGTAATTAGAGTTATTATTTTTTAATTTTTTTCTTTTTAAAGAATTTTAATTATTTGAGTTATGTGTTTGAATTATAGTTCCTCAAATAGTTACTTTAAAAGTTGAATTATAGTTCCTCAAATAGTTATTTTAAAAGTATCTATTTATTCATTCAAGTTGTATATTTTAAGCATATTTATTCATATAAATGCCTTTTTTTAGCTTTTTAATCTGTTTTTATTTCTTTGAATAGCATTTCTTTCTAAAGAAGAATACCTTGAAACTCAGCATTTATCATGATAGCTTTGAAAACTGCATTCCGCATTAACAGTACAGTAAAGCATGGTTAATACACCTTTCAATGAGCCATAGGGAAAGCATATATAAATGGAGAAAGATGTATAAAATTGTATTGGCATACAATTTTCATCAGTTTTATCACTGTGCCATTGCTTTCTGAATAAGTTTTTTTCTTTTTTTAAATCACAAGAGTAACATAAAAAAAGGCTAAATTTTATGCAAAAAAGTAAATAAATGAATAAATGAATAAATATATAAAAAATAGTTTAACATCTTACTATCTTGAATTTTTTTTAATAGCTTACTGCTCAAGAAAGCCTAATGTCTTAATGAGTTTCTTGGCATATTCTGCAGATATGTCCACAACAATCATCCATCCTTTTTTTATTTGCCATATACCTTACTCATTTTTGAAACAGATTGTTTTCTGTGACATTTTTAGGAATAGAGGTGTCATCTTAAGGGCCGTTCAGACTGGGATTTATCTGAGCTAACGGAGGCAACTGACTTAGCTGACCCATCTTCAAAACCAGTTTTTCCCGATAGTGCAGCAAGTTGAAAAATCTGAACTGCACATATAATGGAGCTAGTCGACACATGGAACTGACT